CCAGCTGGTGAATGATCTGAGCATTGAGGCTGCCACTATTGTCCATGTCACCCACCAGCACGGGGAAGGCCTGTGGGGCAGAGGGCAGGGTTAGAGGTTAGAGGTCTAGCATCATACAAGTATATGCGTGATGGGCCTCGGTGAGAAGCCTAGGATTAGAAAGCCTCAGAATGAGGATCTCTCCTCCAGGAAGCCCTCCAAGACCACCTTGGCTGAGTTAGGCTCCCCTCTGGGCTCATACAACCTTTGGGTTCCCCCATTTCAGTCCTACTCTCCCTGAACTGCTACTCTGTTCCCTTTCTCCAGGAGGCTGTGAGCCCCATGGCTGTTTCAGTCACTGCTATGTCCCCAGCACCACCGGGCACAGAATGGGGGTTACAACGAAGGTTTGTTGAATAAATGAATTTATTGCACGGAAATCATTAATATAATCAAAGACCTAATTTAGTCCCGCAACTCTGTGTCCTGCCCAAGCCTCCTTCCGGGTCTCCAGTTTTGCCTTCACTCCCCTGTCAGCCTTGGCAGACAGCCTGAGAAAGGCTACCTATCTCCAAAGCATTCATCTGACCACGTCTTTCCCTCACTTAAATCTTTCTGTGGCTCTCCTGCGCCCCCTAGCGAAAGTTCAAATGCCTAGTTGGCCTTCAAAGCCCGGCAAGATCTACAGCTCAGTCCTGCCCACTCCGGGTCATCACTGTCTGGGCTGGGCAGAGACGTGGGCGTCAGGATGAAGGGATGACCCAGGTTCCGATGCACCTTGGAGAGACAGTCTCCACCTCCCCACACCCCCAGCAGTCCTGGCCTCCTACTGACAAGGCCTTCGTCGCCTGACTGGATACATTGTTAGAAGATACAGTAAGTGAGTGGCAAAGGGAACCTCACCTCTGTTGGACTCAGCTGCTTTGTCCCCACGTACGTGACCCCGAAGTGGTAGTTGGACTCCCCGATTGTGCTGAGGGCTACCGTGTGGTTCACCTGGGAGAAGAGGGAGGGCTGTGGTGGCGAGTCTGTGGGCCGCCCCCCGAGGGACCCAGCCGAGCCCACTCCCAGGGCAGCTCCTCTCCTGCCTGGGATGGGAGATACTGGCCAATCTGGCTACCCCATCAGGGCATCTCTAGGCTGGGCAGGGGATGAAGACTCGGAGGTGTGGCCTGACTGGATTAGAGACTCAGAGAAGGGATGTGCTGGGGCTGGGGCCGGTGCTGGGGCTGGGGCTGGGGCCGGGGCCGGGCCGGGCCTACACACCTGCTACTTCATTCCCGCCTGGACGCTGGCTGAGGGGGATGGTGTATCTCTGGATTCTGGGTCCCTAAACCCTATCACTGGCTGCCATTGTGTGATCAGCCCGGCACTGTGTCTCTGAGTCTTTCCAAGTACCAAGGAGCCCAAACCTTTAGGGAGGAGTAAAAGGGTTGTACGTGCAGATGCAGGGGGATGGCTGGGATGCCCTCTGGAGGATAATGGGACCAGAAAGGCTCACCTGGAAATGATTACTCAACCCTTTGTTGACTGTGAGCTTGACACCTTCCATCTGAATAGGAAACAGCTCTAAAGGAGAGAGAAGTGCTGTCACACTCCAACACACACACACACCCATTTCTCATCCCTTCCTTCCGTACCGTCCCCGCTTTCCCCCGCTTTCCCCTCTCCAGGGATCCCAACCAGTAAATAGCCTAGTGGATGGGCCCAGGACCAAGGCCTTTGCCTGCATCCAAATTCCAGGGCCACCACCTACTACCTGTGTGACCTTGGGCAAGTCACCTTATCTATGTCAAACTTACCATCTGTAAGTTGAAGATGCTCACCACGTAGAAATATTGCAAGGATTTAATGAGTTAACACATACTGAATGCCAGGACGGTGCTCAATAAGCTGCTGCCACCACTTTTGCTATCACAATTACTCCAAGCCAGGATCCAGAAGCTTTGGGTTCCACCTCCACTGGCCCTTTGCTGACACTGTGACCTTGGGCCTCAGTTTCCCTCCCAATCACAAGACGCTGGCTTGGCTGATTCCTGGGGCTCCTGAGGTCCCTAAGGCTTTCTGTACTGCTCTGGCATTCTATCCTGAGGTTCCACCATTTGATCCCATCGTTCTAAGCCCCAAGTTCAATGTGCCACCATTCGATCCCAACGTCAACTTCTAACGCTCTGTTAAATGATTCCAACGGTCCGTGCCAATTCCCAAGGTCCTCAGTGTGCTCCTCCTTCCCCCCGATATCCGGGCCATCACAAGCCCGCCGGGCCCCTAGCCCCTCACCCTTGCACTTCCGGTGGCACTCCTCGAACGTGCCCGGGTTGGGCAGGCAGCCGCAGGCCCTATCATCCCCGGTCCCTCCAGCGCTGGCGGCCGCAGTCCCCGGCGTCCGTTCGGAACCTCGACCTGCGCCAGCTCCAGCACCCAGGCCGCCCCCGATCGGCGGCAGCGTGAAGCCCGGAGGAGAGGGCGGAGGCGGTGGCAGTCCCACGAGGGGAGGCGCAGGCGGCGGCGGCGGCCCTGCGGGCGGCGAGCTAGCAGCCAACACGTTCCCCATGGTCGCCTGCAAAGGGAAAGGTCAGAGGGCAGAGGTCAAGGCCCGCAGGCTCCAGGCCCAGTCGCCAGCGAACACCCCTCTGCTCGGAGCCCCGTTTTCACGCGCGGCAGCGCCTCCCCCCGGTGTGCTCCGCTCCCACCCCGTGCGCCACGCGCAACCTAACCCGCTGCCGCAGCCGCCGCCGCCGCCGCCGCCGCCACCACCGTCGCCCCGCCCCGCCTAGCCCATTGGTTTACAGGGCCCTGGGGTCCGCCCACCAGCTTCAGGGTCTGGCCTTACTATTGGAGTCATGGATGGAAGTCCCACCCACCTCTTTGGAACGCCCTTTTCTGTTGGTTCCCACTCGCAGACAGGTCAAAGCACACCTCCCCCCCTTCCCATTGGCTTGGGGAGCCCACACCGATTGGCTCTAGATGCCGCGGGTTCCGGTGCTCGCCCGCCATTGGTCTGTGCTACGCACTTTGCAACGCCCATTGGCGTATCGCCTCAGCCCCATTCCAGAAGGCGCCCCCTTTCGACTCCGCCCCTCAGCGAAGTTGCCATGATAATTGGTCGGCCTTTGCCCTTGAAGCATTCTGATTGGCTCCAGCATGTACAGGGGTCGGACCCTGGTGACGTAATCAACGTTGTGTGTTCATTGGCTAATGTGCCAGGGTCAAGGGACACGGATAAAGGTGGGTTGCGCGGCAGAGGCTGCTAGGCAGCAAGGTCAGGCCTCGCATCCCACCAGGCACCGCGGCAGAGGGGCGGCCCCCTAGTCGGGAGTCGCACACCGAAAGCCGGAAGTGCTAGCCCTTCCCACAGTGCCACGGGAGATTTCTAACCCGTTATGTGAACGCTGTCCTGCTGCTTGTTACCCACAATGCCCCTTACCTATTTAACGGGACGGTTGCCGTAGACCCACCCCTTTCGTTACCCATCATGCCTTCTGGATCTCTCCCCCAAATCCTTGCCCCAGTCACTGCGTCTTCCATCTTTGGCCCATTCATTCCTGTCCCATTACCCAGCATGCATTCTGCTCCATTCATTCAGCCTGGTTGCCTGTACCACCTTTAGCCCATTTATGCCCGTTCATTTCCCTAATTCTTTTAGCTAATTCTTAATTGACCATAAGGTTTTGGGTCCATTGCCCATCATGCCTGCGGCCCCTATTTCTCCATTATTCATCCCTCTGCCCCTGGCTCATTCTTTCAGACCTATTACCCATCACGCCCTGAGCTCCTATTACAACATTATTCATAATTTGCCTTTGGCCTATTCTTATTGCCATTTATTCATTACGCCCGAGCCCCTCGTACTTAATTACTGCTATTTCTACTTTGTTTCGTTTATTTCGGTCCATTACCCATTAGACTGCTGTTGCAGATTCCTTTTCGTTAATCACAATGCCCTGGACTCCTCCCCACTCCTTCCATTACCCATCACTATGTTTTTGGCTATGCATTTTTGCTCATTATCCCCTCAATTATCTTTTTCACATCTTTGGCCCTTTTCTTAATGTCTGTAACCCATCTTGACTTGTAGTCTGCTGATTCCCTCAAGCCCTGGACCCCCCTATTCATTACCCATTATGTTCCACCCCCATCCCCTTCACAGCCCACAGTAAACACGAGTTGAGGCCTGGTCAAAGTACGAACTCATTTTGTAGGAAATGCTGTATTACAAAACAGTATCACATCCCCTACCCCTGACCCAGGTGATCCACTCCCCACCCCCCACCCAGGCTGGTGGGTCCAACCCCACTGGGCAGAAGTAAGAGAACTCAGTAGTCTTCAAAGTAACAGCAAATTCTCCGAAGGCTGGGGTCAGCAAGGCCCACTCTGCATGAAGCTCACCCCATGTAGCCCTGAGCTGGGGCATAATTCTCTGTACGCAGGAATTGGGGTAGTGGGAGCTCAGGGAAGGGTCTGTACCCTGAGACTCCTGCCTGCAGGAGGGAGGAGATGGGGAAGGTCTGCTTTGGGCTGGGGAAATCCCCTCCCTCCCACCACTGGGGGACAGGGTGGGGACTGGGCGAGTGGGGCTCTGCCACCTGGAGGGCTCAGGTCTGAGCAACAGGATGCCCCCAACACCCACCCAAGCAGAGCTGTTAGGAGTGACTGCCTGAGGTCCAATAAGAGGTCTGGGGTCTTCTTTGGGATTTGGGGGGAGTCTGGAGATGGTGGGACATGAGAGGTATAATCTAAGGTCACAGTCTGAGGACCCCTTGGGTAAGAGGTTATGAAGAAACCTACCTTCTCCAGCCCCTCCTAAGATAAGGTTATCAGTTTTCCATTGTCATGGCCCATTTCTCTGAGTCAGAGATCATGGATTAGAGGTCACAGTGGAGCCACCAAGATAGAAGTCACAGATGAGATGCATGTGTGTTAACTGACAGTGGCCAAGTGAGAGATCAGGGGGCCCTAGATCCCTGGCAGAAAGTTGAGGGATCAAAAAATGAGAGGTGAGAGGCCAGGACCGTGGCGGCTTACACATACATGGCCCGGGACATGACAAAGCCTTTGCCCTGGTAGGACTCAGAGGGGCTGGAGTAGGACAGGGAATCGTAGATGGGGTTGATCTTGTCCAGATAGTCTTCCTCCTCCTCCTCGTCCTCTAGATCCAGGGAAACCCTCTCCAGAGCAGGTGGCCCTGGAGACACCAGCATGGGGGACCCCAGGTTCGTGGCCCCCAGGAGCAGGGGCCCTGACGGTTCTTCCAAGGTGGGAAGCTCATGGTATCGAGGCATTTCCTGGGGATCGGGAGGGAATGAACCCAAGGTCACCTCTTGAACATGAATCCCACTCTGCTCCCTGACCCTCAAATCCTGACCACCATCTCCCCATGCCAACCAGACCTGACCTCACCCTATGTCACCCCTTGTCACCTGGGTTGATATTGAACTGGGACAATCATACAGCTGGTCCCTAACTCAAAGCCCAGAGCATGGACTCTACCCTGTTAATCTTGAGCCTCTCCTTTTCTTTTGATCACTGACCCCAAGTCTTTCCCCATGAGTCTTTGACTTCAATCTTGACTTAAGCTTAAGCTCTAAATAGCCCCTTGAAAACTGACTTGTCTCAAGACAAACTCAACATCCAACCTCTGATCTCCAGGAGGCCACTGAGGGGAGGGACTGTCTGTCTTGTCCCAGCTCCAGGTACAGTGTCTGGCAAATGGAGATACTCAACCAGTCTTCTTTGATGGGATGACTTTAAACTCTCACCCCATGTCCTTGGACTTTTACAACCAAGACCTCCCCCACTGAATCCTAAATGTATCTCAGAGCTCTAAGGTCTGACCAGAGATACAGCTCTGAACTTGAGTTGTAACCGTTAGTCCTTGACCTCTTATGTAAGGAGGCCCTTAAACTCAGATCCCAAACCCACCCTTGTCCTCTCCCGAGCTCCTACCTGCTCAGCGCACGAGACACTAGCATCAAAGTAGGGGGTCTTGAGTGGGTTGTGCTCCGAGGCCCCCAGGGTGAAGAGCTGGGAGGGCTGTGATGCGAGAGAGAGGGACAGGTCAGGACCACCCCCCCTCCCAGACAGCCTCTCCCCACCAGTCCCCACTCCCAGCCCGGGCCTCAGCGGCAAAAGTGGTGTGGGGATGTGGGGGCAGCCTGGGCTCCAGGGGAAGTGCTCACCATCTCCGGCTCCTCCAGCTTTGCCTTTGGAGTCGGCGGCTTGTATGAGGGAGGCCCCTCTAGGCTGTGGGGTAGAGGTAGGTCAGGTGAAGGCTAAGCCCTGAGAAGCCCTCTACCCCAGGGCCACTGCACAGTTCTTTCCTCTGTCTGATCTCTCTTTCCATCACCCACCTCCCCTTACCCAGCTTACTCCTACTCATCCCATGAATTTCTCTTCTTCCAGGAAGCCCTCCTGACTCTCCAGGAGGATCTGGAACTCCTGTTATATGATCATATCTACCTATACGTCCCTCACAGGGCACTTACTGAGTTTGTATTTGAAATATTATTTCTGATCTCATTCAACAACTGTACCCCACTGTGAGCAATGTGAGGGGAAAAAAATGAGATCTGTGTTGTCAACATGGTGTTCCCAGAACACACTATGAGGAATATCAGGAAATATTTGTTAGAAGAGGGAATGAAAAAAATGAATGAAATGCTTTCCTGCCCCCCAAACTATGTTAAATTCCCTCATTCTACACACCCTCAGACCAGAGCATCCTATATATATAATAATGATGGAGGCTTACTATGCCTTCAATCCCCAGCTCAGATGTCCCTGCCTCCAGGAAGCCCTCCCTCATCTTTCAGGCTGAGTCAGGTGCCCCTTCTAGCCTCTCCCAGCTCCCTCAGCTTCCTTAGCCCATCCCTGGCCATGATGGACTGTCACTGTCTGGGAACATGTCTGTCTCCTTGAGACTGTGAACCCTGGGAGGCCAGGGCCAGGGCCATCTCAGACACCACTGGGTCTCATGGGCTTAGAAGAAGAGATCAACAGCAAGTTGTTGGTTTGCATTGACTAGATGATTAAGACAGTGGTTCACAAACTTTCTTGTGCATCGTAGGGAGTTTGTTATAAACACAGATGCCAAGCCCTTCTTGTAAAAGTTCTGATTCAACAGGTTTGGTGTAAGCCCAGGAAGGTGCATTTTTAACAAGTGTTCCCCCTCACACACACTGGGTCATATTATTTCAGAACCATTTTGCCCCCAAAATGCTGTCTTGCTGGATGAATTTCAGCAAGTGGTTTCAGCTCTCTGAACCTGTTTCCTCTTTGAGAAAATGGGTACCCTTAACTCCATCTGAAAATTAGGTTTCCATGATATGATATGTTTATGTGTGTGGACGTCTTTTATTTATTTTTTAAATCTATTTTATTTTTTTTGGGACATCTTTTAAGTGTTTGTCTCATCATTGTGTTCCTAGCTTTCAGGGTCTTGCCCCAAGTGAGTACTTTCTGAATACCTATTGAACGAATGAATGAATGGATGGATGTGAGGCTTCATTGAGATCACACATGTAACATACATCTCATCAAGCCTGTCACATAAGTGTTCTACACAGAGAAGTGGGGCTAGTTTCCCCCAATATCTAGGCTCCTCTTTTCTCATAGTAATAGAGATTTTGGCTGGGTACGTGGCCACCAGAATAAAGACTACGTTTCCCGGCTTCCTTTGCAGCTGAGGCAGCCATGTGACTAGGCCACTGGGAAATGGGAAATTAGAGGAAGTGATGGGTTCCCTTACAGGGCTGCCAACTGCCTTCTATTTCCATTTCCCTTTCCCACCGAAAGGAATGGGGTCATTGAGGCCAGGATGGCCATGTCTGGTGGTCATGTACATAGACAACAGTAAAAGAGAGGACAGCTATCTTGGAATGTGAATGAAGGTCACGCACTAGGGAAGGTGGAGCAAAAAGAGAGCAGGAGCCTAGGCTCTGATGACATCACAGAGCAGAACTGTCATAGACATGATTTCCAGGAGACAGAAATAAACTCTTCTCTCCACCGCATTTAAGTCATGGTTGTTTTGGGTCACTCAGCCATTGCTGATGACTTTCTCCCAGCCTCCTCCCCAACTCTGTGCGTCCAGTTCTGGGACCCCTCCCTCATCCACTTCTTAGGGCCCATCACTCACTCCTCCACCTCCTCTGCCCCCTGCAGCCTCTGCTCCTTCCGCTGCTGTCGGCAGATGAGGATGCCTGTGGCGGCCACAGCAGTCGCAATGATGGCAGCGATGATGCCCCCAATGATGCCACCTGTGGCCCCTGCGCCTGCTGTGTTGGGTGTCTCTGCAAGAATGAGGGACAGTGTGAGGGAGTCTCCAGGAGGAAGCCACAGTGCCTTATTCCCAGCCCCACCTCCCAAGTCACCACCCACCTGTCTGCCTTTTTTCCCAAGGGCAGAGGACATTCTTTTTTTTTTTGCGGTACGCGGGCCTCTCACCGCTGCGGCCTCTCCCGCCGCGGAGCACAGGCTCCGGACGCACAGGCTCAGCGGCCATGGCTCACGGGCCCAGCCGCTCCGCGGCATGTGGGATCTTCCCGGACCGGGGCACGAACCCGCGTCCCCCGCATCGGCAGGCGGACTCTCAACCACTGCGCCACCTGGGAAGCCCCAGAGGACATTCTTTTTATTCACTTAATCCTTAATGATCATTTGTTGTGTGATAAGAGTGGTGAGCAAAACATACAAAAGTCCTAGTCACATTGGACTAATGTTTTGTTGGGCAGGGAGGACACCAGTAGAGAAATATACACAATAGCTAATATGCCAGGGGATAGTAAGTGATAGAGGATAATAGTGTATAGTAGGGTAGATGATAAGTGACAGAGCAGGGGCCCTCAAGGGCAGTCAGAGAGAACCTTACTGTGAGGTGACATTTGAGCAAAGATCTGAAGGAGCGGTAGGGGGTGAACCATGAGAATATGAGAGCATTTCAGGCAGAGCGAACAGCCAGCGCAAAGGTCCTGGGGAGGAAGCCTCACGTTTTTTTTTTTTTTTTTTTTGCGGTACGCGGGCCTCACTGTTGTGGCCTCTCCCGTCGCAGAGCATAGCCTCCGAACGCGCAGGCTCCGGACGCGCAGGCTCAGCGGCCATGGCTCACGGGCCCAGCAGCTCCGCGGCATGTGGGATCTTCCCGGACCGGGGCACGAACCCGTGTCCCCTGCATCGGCAGGCGGACTCTCAACCACTGCGCCACCAGGGAAGCCCCCTCAAGTTGTTTTTAAAGACAGCAAGGAGGCCATGTGGCCAGAGCAGAATGATGATGCGAGAGTGTGGAGCTAAGGGAAGAGAGGTGATGGGGAATGGAGAGAAAAGGCAAAAAAATTGGGGAGCGGAGCGTGATTCTGGATTTGGGATCAGACCCCCTCCTTCATTACATAGAATGGAGTCATCCTAGGCAGAGGATCATAGCTCCTCTAACTTAACAGGAAAAGGGGTGGAGAGGAGCCCATGACCCCCTGGGCCTCTCCTTTGTAACACTTCCCACTTCTTGAATCGTTTTTGGAGCAATTACCTGTTTACTTGCCAATTTCCACACTGCACGCTCCAAGGGGTGGGGTCTGGCACACAGCCGGTGTTTTTCTAGACATGTAAGGCGGGGCCCAGCAGGGACACTTAGGGACCTACTGTCTGCCAGATCAGCCAAATTCCCGCCCCTACCCTCCTGGCACTACCCTCCCATTGTGGGAGGAGGTGGTGGGGGGCCCTGGACAGGGTGGTACAGACAATAAACAACTAGGGGAAATAACATGTGTGCCAAAGCCCCATCCACAGGCTTCCCCCTTCCATCAACCCCACTACACAGATGCAGAGAGAAAGCTGCCGGTAGGAGCGCTGCCTGGATCCCTGGACTCTCCGATTTCCACAACTTCCTGTTACACAGCCTGGCATCCTCTGGAGGGCTTCAGAGCGCGGGGGAATATCAGAACCTGCTGCTCAGTCTACACACGCTCACCCTAAAATTGCTGCTATTCTTGTTGTTGACTGCATATCCGGGAGGGCAGGGCAAGCTCTGCCCGAGTCACCGCAGTGTCCCCGCACCGTGAGTGGAAGGCAATGCAGGTGGAAGAAACGGGCTCACCAAGCCCCTCCTGGATGCTCAGCCCCACGCTGGGCATTCGGGCGCAGCCTTACTGAGTCCCATGACAGCCTCAGGAGCAGAGATGAAGGCCACTGGTGTTTTACCAAGGTGGCCATGGAGCTCAGGAGAGCAGAGGTAACCTTGCCCCACTCCATGCCTCCACCGCAGTTCTCTGCCCGGGTTTGGGAGATTTTCTAATGGTGGCGGGGAGTGAGAAGAATACAGAGCTGCAGCCCCTCCCTCTGAATCACCGAAAATCCCCTTGGGCACAGCCTGGGGACAAGGGAACACAAAGGAGGTAGGAAGGGCCACTGCCGTGTTCTTCCAGAGGGGGGACTTTCCTGGTTCCTCAGCAACCCCACCTGCCCCATCCCCTCAGGGCTCCTGAGAATGAAGGGGCGGTCCTCCCTCCCAGTATCCTCAGCAAGCTCTGGGAGGTCGGGTCTGAGCTGCCCTCAGAGGATCAGATCACAGCACCTCCCCACCTTCAAGGGCCCACAAGTCCAGGATCCCAGCCCCGCTCTCCGGGGGAGCTCAGTTCTCTCGCCACTCTGGCCACTCCACCCAGGAAGGCAGCCTCTGTCCTGGAACTCCCGAGTCCAAGCACCAGCCTCTAAGCCCAGTTCCCAGTCCCACTGGCTTTAGGTGTCTCGGGCATCCAATATGTCCTTCAAGGACCCAAGTGACCAGAGCCCACCCCCGCCGGCCCCCAACCCCAGCCTCACCAAGTCTAGCCTCCACTAGGCTCCCAGTCTCCAGGGCCCACCCCCTGGGACCTAGCAGTCCCTGTCCCACCCCCCCAAGGAGGGGGTCCGATGTATTACAAGACACCCCCAATGTTTTCCTCCAAGGTGTTTATTAACTCCTGAGTGTCATGGGGCCAGAGCAGGCTGGAGCCCAAATCGAGTCTCTGGGGGGGAGGGTGCTCTGTGGTTCCCCATTCCCGAGCTCCCCGGGGTGGGGGGCTCCCCTGCCCCATACAGCCCTGGAGACAGAAGTCCAGTGTGTGACATTCCACCTCCCTCCACATCCCAGGAAAGGAAGCAGGAGGTAGCTTTGAACTCCAGTGTCTTCCGGACAAACAAGTTGAACGAGTCTGGGACCCTTGGCTGTCTGCCTGTCTTGGGGTCACACATAAACTGCCCGCCGGGAGATGAGGGAGCCGTCCAGCTGGGACTCCATGTCGTCCTCGAGTGCCGGGGGTGGAGGCAACATGAGGCCTTTCTCTGCCTCTTCCTCCCCTTCGTCCTCCTCGTCCTTGCCCTCTGGCCTCAGGGGACCAGGGGCACTTGGCGTCCAGAAGACGGGACCCCCATTCCCAAACACCTGAGTTTTCGGATCGTAGGACCCTCCTCTGCCGCCGGGTCCTCCTCCTGGGCTCTTCCGCCTTCTCTTCACCCTCAGCAGGATGAAAGCCAAGGGCCCCCCAGCCAGAAGCAGCAACAGCAGGAGTACGCCCCCACCAGCCCCCCACACCACTGGACCCACGTCTCGGGGCGAGGCCCGGGGGTTGTCTGAGGAGAGAGAAGGGGTGAGAGAGAAAGGGAGACAGGAGGTCAAGAGGATACATCTGGGAGTGGGGAGGGGGGGACCCAGGACACAGCAGGGCAGTGACGGGAACTAGGAAGGTGAGTCAACTTGGGCAGAAGAACGTGGAGGGAAGGGAGAGCCCGTTCCCTCTTCGCTACAGGCTGGGCGCTTTGTATGCGGAGGGGTTGCCAGTGGGTGGCCCCCAGATGGATCTCTTTACACCTGTACAGCGTTTTCCCCAAATTAAACTTGCTAACAAAATAGAAAACCAACCAACCAACCAACCAAAAACCAAAATTAAACTTGCCAGCTAACATTTAAAGCACTAGGCCATTTCACTGCAAATTCCAGATTTCTTTTAGGGGGAAAAGGAAAATCAGATCCCAGGGACTCCCCTGGCGGTCCAGTGGTTAAGAGACTGCGCTTCCACTGCAGGGGGCATGGCTTCAATCCCTGGTGGGGGAACTAAGATCCTGCATGCCATAAGGCGTGGCCAAAAATTTAAAAAAAAAAAAAAAATCAGATCTGGCGACACTAAACTTTCATCTCTTCCACCTGGTGATGGGCTGTGGCTGAGTCAGGCTGCTGACTCCGAAGGGGACAAAGTTCCACACCTGGCCACCCCGGTCACTCGCCAGGACCCTGTAGGCATCTGGGTTTGAGACCCCCTCCCAGAAGCTCTGAGGTCAGCGTCATGGAATCTTGGGGCTGATCCAGCCAGGAAGAGGCAGCCTAGATTTGAGCGTGAGGCTGTCTGATTCCAAAGCTCTTTGCACTTGAGAGAAAGGGGATTGAGAAGGGCCAGGGGCCTCCTGGTAATTCCCCCCCCCCCCCCGCCCCCACTGGGAGCGGGAGTGGCTGGGAGCACGTGTCCCCAGTGTGGCGAATGGGGCTCCTGAAGCCCCCAGTCCCGGTTTCCTCTCCCAGCAGGGCCTGAGCTTGAGGGAGGGGAGGGGTCTGGGGGAGGATAGGGGGTGGGGTTGGGCGGAGAAGGAAGCCAGGGAGCCCTAAGCGGGGAGGAGTGAGGATGAGGGAGGGGGCGTCCAGGCCCCACAACAGGAATAGACATGATGCAACTGGCATCTTATCAGACCCACCCCACCCCCCAGTTCCCCCACCCCTGCATGCAGGGTGTGACTGGGAAGGGGCTGGGACCCAGGCATCTGTTTCTGGATGTTTTCCAAAAACGGGGGGTCACGACCTAGCGGGCTGTCAGATCAGTCTGGTGACTCACAAGCAGCAGTAAAACAAAATAGAACAGAAAAAGTTTACCTCAAGTATGAAGGGTAAGTAGTATTCTGTGAAACTTTTTAGGGGGAATATATTCCTATACCTGTACCCTGGAGATGGGAAAGATTTCTTTCAGTGAAGTCTGGAGACCAGTTTTCGCACGTGTCGGAACGTGTGTCTGTGTTACTGGGGATGATGATTTGGAGGTGGTGGGTGAGCGTGTACCTGTCTGTGGGTCAGAAATTCTCTGAAGCAATGTCTATCTAGCCTGTGGCCTTGCCTGTGTTCTTATGTTTCCGCTGGCGTGAACCCCAAACCGAGCGTGAGAGCGTATGCGGTTCTGTGTGTGCATGGGGATGTGAGGGGTCTCTGAGACCCTCTGACGTGACCCTGCCAAGAGCAGGGAGTGAATCTCCTCTCTGGGCAAGGCCACCTGTTGGCACACTCACTGCACGTGATGATTTCTAGGGTGCTCAGAGGGTGTCCCCACGTTTGTTGGCGCCCATCCGTAGGTGCATGTCTTTGCAATGAAGCTTCTGACTGTCTGTGGGTCTGTGGGTACCACTGCGAGAGTCTCTGGGAGTGTGATTCTGTGTGCATTACCCGCAGCCCGCAGCTGCCCAGGTTCCTGATGGGGCTCTGAGTATGTGTGTCTCACTTGGTGAATATCACCCTAGGCTGAACTCTGAACCCAGTGTGTTCACTTTGGGGTTTCCAGTGGTGGATATCCCTGGGGTTTCTGGGTGTCTCTGGGGGATGTCCATGCTTTCGTGGCTCTGTCTTCCTCCGATGGCCCTCAAGTGTGATCCCGCCTGTGTTCTGGAGGCTCCACCCCACAGAGGTGCCTACTGACCCAGTGCGGGTGGGGAGACCAGTTTCTCTGGTGAGTATCTGGGATAGAGGTTCAGGGGGTGTATTTCCAGTTGGGCACCTCGCTGGGTGGGTGGAGCTGACCCTCCCCCAGCTGTTCCTTTGAGGGCAGGGACCGAGACTGGGTCACCATCGTATTCCCCACATTGAGGAGAATGCCTGACCAAGAGGAAGACTCCGCAAATACTTGTCAGATGACGTTTGTTGAAAGACAATCTCCACAATGGGTTTTTTGGAGTTTCCGAGGGTGTGCACTTGAGAACGTGTTCGAGTTACCTTCTCAGCATCTGTGTGTGAGCAACGATGTTTCCGCACGTGGAATTGTTGCTGTCCGCGGTTCCTTTCGCTTCTAGCATGTCTGCGTGATGGTGTCTGCCTCCAGGTGTGTGTGTTTGTGCACCTGAGCGTGTCAGATGCGCTGAAGGCAGGCCAACAGTCTCTCTGGGTGTGTGGTCTGTGACAGTTTCTGAGTAGCTACGTCATATCTCCCCGGCGAGTGTCCGAATTCCTCAAGAGGGATCCGTTTTCACTTGGGTGTCTTTCCGGGTGTGCGTGTGCGTGTGCGTGTGTTGATCATCTCAGTAAGGGGGCCTGCTTCCGTCTGTCTCCAGGTGTGGGTGTGTCTTCACACCGATGCCTATGAGTTTGTCTTTGGTTGTGTTTCTGAGGGGGCCCTCCTCCCACCCACTGAGGCCCCCTGCCTCCCTCTAAGCCTCCTGGGCTACATTTGTGATTGCGACCCCACTTCCATCAGCCCGAACCTGGGCTTTATTTTTGGCTTTATTTTTTTCCTCTCCAGCTAAGTCTTGGGTCCTATCTGTGTTTTTGAGTTCCCATTGTGGAGACTCAGAGAACTTTTGACCCACAGACACATCAGCCACCATTTCCAGAATACCACCTCCAGGGAATTCCCTGGCAGTCCAGTGGTTAGGACTCCACACTTTCATTGCCGTGGGTTCGATCCCTGGTCGGGGAACTAAGATCCCGCAAGCCAAGTGGTAGGCCAAAAAAATCCAAAAAACAAAGCAAAGCAAAACAAACCCAAAATACCACCTCTAGAAACACAAACATCCCAACACACACTCAAACTGGTTTCTGGGTCATACTGACCAGCCCTCACTGTAAGAAGTCCATTGTTTCCGAGTGTTTGTCTAGCTGCCCTCACGTGACTGTTAGTTGTGCAATTCTGTGGGCGTGTCTCACTGGCTGGAGGCCAGGCCAATGTCCCTGGAACTCTCCCTGAAGGCCCTTCCCAGGCCTCTACTTTCTAGGAAGACCCCAGCGCAGGTCTCAACGTCCTAACTCCTCTGTCAGCACCTACCCTGTCACCCCAATCCAGATCCCACCTAGGGCCAAGCCACACCGTCCCCCTCCCATCATGGAGGCGGGTCTGAATTCTCCCCAAGTCGGCGGCGCAGCCTCCTCCAGTGCAGCCCCAGAACCCAGAAGGGAGGTAACACTTGGGGAGCAGACCCAGTCGTACACACCATCCCCAAGACCCGCTTACCTCGAACTAGGACCACCTGCTCGGCGTGGCCCGTGCCCACGGCGTTGGTGACGGTGCAGATGAAGGTGGTGTTGAACAGCCGGTCCACCGAGTGGACGATCAGCTTGGGGCCCTGGGCTACTGCTGAGGCTGGGAAGACGCCTGAAGTCCTGGGGGGTTTGGGGGTCACATGAGAAGGACAGCATGGTACACGGGGAGTACAGGTCAGACAGCCCTCAGGAGCCAAGCTCTACGGACCTGAAACTTACTCCTTAACACCCCAAACTGCGAGTCCCTCTTTCTGGAGGAATCACGGTTTCGGGCCGCTGGAGCTCCTCTCTCACAGCACAGTAGTCCAGGCCCCCAGCCCCTCCTCCCTCAGCCCCAGGATCCAGACCCCGGCCCCTCCTCCCTCAGATCCAGAGTCCAGGCCCCCAGCCCCTCCTCCCTCAGACCCAGGAGTCTGGGTCCAAACAGGACTCACGTGCTCCAGTCGTAGCCTGTGGGCTCTGGTTTGCTGCGGACGTCACAGTTCAGGGAGGCCTCACTACGGCCGACATACCAGTTGTCATCATAGCCGGATATGGAGACCTCAGGGGGGTCTGGAGGAAATGGGGGGACTGGCTCAGTGACAGGGAGAATCCCAAAAGGGGTGATAGGTGAGCAGATAGATAAGAATTCTAAAGAAATGGGCTGGCAGGAGGTGGACCCATGGAAAATGCCTGGGGCAAATCAATCCGGGCTGTATAGACACTGTCCAGGGACACGGCTGAGGGTCATTTTGAGGAAGTTACTGTTCGTTGCAGGCAGCGCCCCGAGGCAGCCACTCTAGATAATGTGTGTCATTTCTGACACGCCCAGAGTGGATAAGGGAGTTAGTTTAACTGCAGTCATTGTCTGGGGAGCTAGTATAGAAAATGCTGAGTTGGGGTATGGGGTATGATTGGACAGTGGCTGGAAAAGCCGCTAAAGTAACTGTTTGGCAGGGTCTGTGGGAAGAGTGCCCGGGGGAGCCTCTCTGGGTGACATTAGGCAGTGCTGGTGTGAGCAGTTTGGGGAAGAGCATATCAGAAGGGGTTGATATTGACAGCGTACAGCGGGGAATTCCTTGGCGGTCCAGTGGTTAGGACACGGCTCTTTCACTGCCGTGGCCCCGGGTTTAATCTGCAGAGCGGCCAAACAACAACAACAACAACAAAACACATATTTTGTTGATAGGGTCCAGAGGGGCCAATGTGATTACACTGGGGGGCAGAAGCAGGTGTAGAGGCCCCAGGAGAGTCAGTATAGACAGTGTCCAGGGAGCCAATTTAGACAGTATGAATGGGGGTGTGTATGTAGACAATATTGGGTTGGGTAGTGAAGACAGAGCAGTGGATATAGACAGTGAGGGAGCAGTGTCAACTGGGGTCCACGAGAGCCAGAAGATTGCTGGGTGCAGTTGTATGCTGGTAAACTGGCTCTCTGAAAAGGGAGGGGAAAAAAATAGAATAGCCCTGATTTGAGGTGTTTGCCAATTTCCTTGGTGTAAATACTCCACACGGCTGATTGAAGCTAGCGGTAAGACTTCACTGGATGTGGAATTGGGAAGAAATGTATAATACCGACCCTTGCAAACCCATTCTGATTTACCATTGATTGTGGCAGCAAGGTGAGAGCCTCGTGAAGCCAGTATAGACAACGAGGGGGCAGTGTGCAGATGTTGTCCCGGGGAGCCAGTGTAGACAATGGGCAGGAAGGCAGTGCAGAATTTGACCCAGAACGCCAATGTAGACAACACTCAAGGATAATGTATACGGTGCCCTAGAGAAGCCGGTATAGACAGTATTGGGGGTGTGGTCACATCCTGATGCACTCACAGCGCACAGAGAGGGTCACAGGCAGCAGAACTGGCTCCTCAAAGCTCTCGTGCTCCACTTTGCAGGTGACCTTGACACCATCTGCTTGGCCCAAGGGTACCAAGGTGAAGCGGCTGGTGACGGTGACTGTACCAGGCAGGGGTCCTGACACCTGGCTCTCTCTGGCCTCCCCATCCAAGGGTGAGAGCCAGGAGACTCGGGCAGGTGGCCGGCCGCCCGTGGAGACACAGCGGGCCACGGGTACAGGATCCAGACTGAGTGTGACTTCTTGTGTTTCGGCATGGTTCTGGGGCTGGGCTGGGGAGAGGAACAGAGGGCAGCGTGGGTCACTCCACACCTAGAGTCATTCAACAAACACCTCAGCAGCAGTGGAGCTGAGCAGTTAAGCCCCAACTGCCTGGGTTCAATTCCCAGCTTTGCTGCTTTGCTGCTGCATGGCTTTGGGCAAGTCATTTCCCAACTCTGTACCTCAGCTTCGTCTTTTGTAAGGTGGGGATAATCATAGTACCCACCACATAGGATTGTTGTACAGATTAAATAAATTGATATGTAAAGCACTTTGGACGGTACTTGACACTCACTGTGCTATCTAAGTATTAGCCATTATATTTTCTGTTCTGCTCTGCTAGAAAAACAGACAATGTCCACCAGTCTGGAAGAGGCCGAGATTTTAAAAGAAAAGCCAAAGCAGAATAATGAGGTTCAAAGGTCCAGCTGAAAAGCCCTCCAACTTCTTTTCCTTTAATCACCATTAGATTGTGGTGCCAGAAGTGGGATAAAGGCAATGGAGCTTCCCAAAGCTGGAATTTTTTTGCCCTTTTCACTCATCCTCCTGGAAAACATGGAAAAATATTAGGCAGGGTAAACCTCCACGAGGAATGATAATGACAACCCACAGTTACTAATGTATGCCCATAACCAGACACCTGAGTTCTGACACCTGAGTTCTCCACCAGGTGGAGAGATCCAGGAAGCATCTCTAGCTGCCTTCTGGATCTCTCCAGCTGGATATGTCCTGAGCTTCTCAACGTGGTACTGCCTTCCTCTCCTTTCCTATCCTTCCTGCATTCTCTCCTGACCGCCGAAGTCTCTGATGGGCCTGCCCACATCCTCCCTGATCACCCTCCCATCAGTCCTATGAGAGCTCCAGGCACACCCACCCCACCCCTCTTCCCACCCACTGCAGGGTCTTAGCGACTTGCACTGCCTGGAGCGCTCTGGCCTCCCTTCTCCTTGTCTTGTTCTTCCTCCTCCTCCAGATCCCAGCCTCACTTCCTCAAGGAAACTTCCCTGACATCCGACTCCCCAAGAAAGCGGAGTCTTCACTGTTCCGTTCTGCACCTTTGTAGGCACCTGGTGCATGGTAGGCGCTCTCTATGCAGCTCTTGAATAGAACAAATGATTGCACAAGAGAGACCTTCGTGAGGGATGAGCAGGGAGAACAGCTGTGCTTTTTGTGAAACAACTGGTTTTGGGGCTCCTTGGGAAGGGAAGTGTGTCCTGAGGGACAGTACAGGGTACACTTCCCCAGCTCTCTGGGGCTGAGAGGTGGGTAGTTAAGTGTCCAGAGTGACGTGGCTTCTGTGGAGTTGCCGGGGAACTATGGGATCCCAGGGGATTGCCTAGATTTAGGAAGAAATAGCATCTTCAGAAAGACATCTTCCCTAAGTCTTCCCCATTTCGCTAAGTGGTTGTGCGGGTTACCTTCCTGCTGGACCAGAAGGCTGGGCGTTTTTGATTCTCCTCTTCCCTTAATTCACAGACAAGCACCTTCTATCTCTTAAAAGTGTGATTATTTCCACTTCTCTCTTTATTCCACCCCCCTCCCCTCCCCTGCTGCTTCTTCCCCCTTCCGAGCCAATGCCTCCTCTCACCTGGTCTCCTTGCTTCCCTCTACCTTCGTCTACCCTTCTGATGGGCCCACACACAGCAGCCAGTCATCTTTTTAAAGCAAGTTCAAGAGCCTGGCCAGGGTGCTCTTATGGTTTGAAACCCTCTGATGGCTCCAAATAATATTTCAGATAAAGGGGATTCCCTGGTGGTCCAGTGGTTAGGACTCCAAGCTTTCACTGCGGAAGGTAGGGGTTCAATCCCTGGTCGGGGAACTAAGTAAGATCCTGGAAGCTGAGCGGCGTAGCAAAAAAAAAAAAAAAAAAAAAAAAAAAAAAAATAAAGGTGAAAGTCGAGCCACCTGACCTCTGTCTATGAGGCCCATGCAATCATCATGACCCTGTCGGTTTTCTCGCCTTGTTGAGGGTCACTCAAGCCCTTGCAACCACCCTCACCAGCCTCATTTCTAGAACATGCCAAGCTGGCTCTCATGTCCCAGCGTATGCATAGGCTGTTCCCTCTGCTTGTGCATTCATTCCTCTGCCCGTGGACGTGTCCCTGAGGGTGGCTCCTGCTAACACTTTGGGACTTGACGAAGAGGCTTTTGCTGACCATTCTATCTAAATGAGTTCACTGGGGCCCTCACTCTGAATATTGCAACATCCTGGTGTTTTCTTTGTTTGCCAAATTGATTATTCTCTGGCTTCACCTCTAAAATATTTCCATAATCCAATCTCTTCTCATCACCCCCACTGCCTCCATCTTGGTCTAGGTGCCATCACCTCCCACCTGGACATATGCCGTCACCTCCTTTGTGGTCTCCCAGCCTCCACCCTCACCAATCACATAGCCAGAAGGAGCCTGTGAAAACCCAAGCCAGATCACATCCCTCTTATGTTCAGAATTTCCTGTAGCTCTTGTTCTCTCAAGGCAAAAGCCAAAATCTTCACGTGGTCCGTGAGGCTGTGATCTGTGCTCCCCCATCACCTCCTTGACCTTGCCTCTTTCTACTTTCCTCCATTCATGCATCTCCAGCCACACTGACTTCCTTGCTCTTCCTCAGACATTCCAGGTGTGCCCTGCCTCAGGGCCTTTGCACTTGCTATTCCCACTGCCTGAAACTCTCTTCCCTAGACCTGCAGGGCTCCCTCACCTCCTAGTTTGGGTTAGCACCAGACCACCCTCGCTTACAACTGTAACCTGCTCCCCTCCAACTTCTGCAGCACCTATAACCACCTGACTCACTCTTATTTTTCTTATGTATGTTATCTACTCCTTTGTTTGGAGTATAAGCTCCAGGAGGGCAGGGGGTGCTGTCTTCCTCACTGCTTTATCTCTAGAGCCTAGCATAGTGCCTGGCACAGAGTAGGTACTCAATTTGCTGAACACTTGTTGCCGGCTGTCTCTCCAACTTGCAGAACAGCGTGTGGCAAACAGTAGGTGCTTAATGAATAGCTGCCCATTGGCTGAAGATCACGGACAAGGTCGATATCACAGCTAAAGAGGAGAAACAGACTGCTGAGGGGCTCTCGTGCATTGCATCCCCGACCCTCCCACTTCGTTGCAGCCCTGCCCCCCACCCTGCTCACCTATGACTCTGAGCCAGGTCACTCCCCGACTGGTGCCCCGGGGGAAGGTGGCAAACTCGCAGGTGTAGTTGCCCTCGTCCTCCACCGTCAGGCCCCGGAGGGCCAGTGTGGCGTCCCGCACCTCCAGCTCTGTGCCTTGCCCGGCCCCGGTGCTCTGCCCGGCATTGACGAAGGACAGCCGCTCCTTGCCTGGCTTCGGGCTGGGGAAGCTGGGACCATACTGGGGGTGGAAGATGGCCACGTTCTGGTTACCCTCAGGCGCGTCCAGGCGCAGCCACGTCACCTGAGACACTCGGATTTCAGGCGCTGGGGGCAGCAGGTGGCACGGCAACTCTACGGTGTCCCCCAGGTGGCCCCGCACCTCGGCTGCGGCCCGAACTCGCACATCCTGGGCTCCTGCGGAGAGAGGAGAGAGAGAGGTCGGGGCAGTGAAGGACCCAGACACCTCCGGGCCAGGCCGGGCCATCACTGAGGGGCCGCCCCCTGAAATGCAGACCCGCAATGCAATGCAGGAATCTTTCTTTATGTAATCCCAATTCCCAAAAGGCCAGCCAGAAAGACAGTTTGAGGAAAACTAGGGACATTTGTGTCCAGGCTAGATGACATATGATTATGGAATTACCATTCATGATCTTAGGTGTGATGATTAATTTGTGGTTATGTAGTATTCCTTTAAAATTAAAAAATATTTTATTTTATTTTATGCCGCACCGCATAGCTTGCGGTATCTTATTTCTCCCACCAGGGATTGAACCCAGGCCATGGCAGTGAAAGCCTGGGGTCCTAACCACTGGACCGCCAGGGAATTCCCTATTTTATTTTTATTTTATTGACGTATAGTTGATTTACAATGTGTTAGTTTCAGGTGTACAGCACAGTGATTCAGTTTATATATATATCTCAATACATATATGTGTATTGTATATTCTTTTTCAGATTCTTTTCCTTTATAGGTTTTACAAAATATTGAGTATAGGTCCCTGTGCTATACAATAGGTCCTTGCTGGTTATCTATTTTATGTAGTATTCCTTTTTCTTAGAAGATAAATGGTGGATGGGACTTCCCTGGCGGTCCAGTGGTTAGGACTCTGCAATCTCACTGCCGAGGGCCTGGGTTCAGTCCCTAGTCGGGGAACTAAGATCCCACAAGCTGCGCGGCGAAGGAGAAGATGATAAGGGGTGGAAATGTCATACCTGTAAGGTACTCTCAAATGGTTCATCAAAAACAACAACAACAAAAACGATAAAGTGACGAAGCAAACGTGGCAAAATGTGACCCTTTGTCAAGTCTAGGGGCAGAGGATGAGGAAGGCTGCTGGGTCATTCTTCCAACTTACACATGTGTGTTTGAAACTTTTCATTATCAAATGTTTGGAAGGAAAACAGAATCCTCCAAAAATAACAAAAACCTGAATCTATCCCAAAAGAAATTAAAAAAAAATTCAAAGTGTGAGGATAGTTTTCATTTTTTTTCCTACGTAAGAATAATACTTTCTCTCACCTTTCTATAAAACCTACAGCCCTCTGTGCCTTTTTTTTTTTTTTTAATTTTTATTTATTTTTTGGCTGTGTTGGGTCTTCACTGCTGCATGCGGGCTTCTCATTGCTGTGGCTTCTCTTGCTGCAGAGCACGGGCTCTAGGCGCGCAGGCTTCCGTAGTTGCAGCACGGGGGCTCAGTAGTTGCTGTGCCTATTTTTTTTAAAACAGCCGTGCTGAGATATAATTCCCACTCACCTATTAAAAATGTACAATTCAGGGACTTCCCTGGTGGTCCAGTGGGTAAGACTCCGTGCTCCTAATGCAGGGGGCCTGGGTTTGATCCCTGGTCAGGGAACTAGATCCCGCATGCATGCCGCAACTAAGAGTTCGCATGCTGCAACTAAGAAGTCCGCGTGCCGCAGCTAAGACCTGGCGCAACCAAAATAAGTAAGTATGTAAACGAATAAATGTCTATATCTTATGTATATTTTTTTAAAGTTAGACTAATAAATAAATAAAGTACGATTCAATGACTTTTCATATATTCACAAGAGTTGTGCAACCATCACCATAATCAAGTTTAGGACATTTTTATAATCCCCCAAAGAAATCCCTGTACCCATTAAACAGTCACTCCCATTTCCCCTCCTCCCACCCCCTAGTAATCACTAGTCTATTTTCTGTCTCTGTAGATTCTCTTCTTCTGGACATTTTGCATAAATCAAATCATACAACATGTGGCCTTTTGTGTCTGGTTTCTTTCACTTGGCATAATGTCTTCAAGGTGTGCCCACGCTATAACATGGGTCAGTGTCTTGTTCCTTTTTATGGCTCAGTAATATTCCATTGTACGGATTGACCACTTTGTGTTTATCCGTTCATCAGTTAATGGACATTTGAGTTGTTTTCACCTTTTGGTAATTATGAATAAAGCTGCTGTGAGCATTTGCGTACCAGATTTTGTCCGAACGTATGGCTTTTATTTCTCAGCTTATCTTTTGTTTTCTGATTGTTAATAAAAAATGGAATAAAGGGGACTTCCCTGGCGGTCCAGTGGTTAAGACTCTGAGCCTCCACTGCAGGGGGTACGGGTTCCATTCCTGGTCAGGGAACTAAGATCCCACATGCCGCGCGGCGTGACCAAAAAAAAAAAAAAAAAAAAACGGGGGCCTTAAAAAAAAAAAAAAAAAAAAAAGTACTGTTCTTAATAAATAACCCCAAATTTAAAACCACCCAAATTTTCATCGACAGAAGAATGGATAAATTGTATACTATTACGTGGTGCAGTTTGGGAATCCACCTGCCAACGCAGGGGACACGGGTTCGAGCCCTGGTCTGGGAAGATCCCACATGCCACAGAGCAACTAAGCCCGTCCGCCACAACTGCTCAACCTGTGCTCTGGAGCCCGTGAGCCACAATTATTGAAGCCCGTGCACCTGGAGCCCGTGCTCCGCAACAAGAGAAGCCAACGCAATGAGAAGCCCATGCACAGCAACTAGAAAAAGCCCGCACACAGCAACAAAGACCCAACGCAGCCAAAAATAAATAAAATAAATAATTAAAAAAATAAAAACCAGAATAAAGATGAATGTTCCTCTGCTGTGTAAGGCAGTACAGCATGGTGACTGAGGGCAGAGTGCCTGGGTTTGAATCCTGGCTCGGCAACTTACTGGCTGTGTGACATTGGGCAAGTCATTTAACCTATCTGTGCCTCAGTTTCCTGGGCTGTAAAAGGAGGGTAATAATGGTGCCCATCTCCTAGGGATTGCCGTTTAAGGATTAAAGGATGTTTGTAGAGTACTTGGCACACAGGGCCCCCCGGAAACACAAGATCAGTGCTTGGTAAATAAACATAGCCAGGTAAGTGTAATTACAAGTAGCCCTCGACACCCAGCCTCAAGGCAAGGCCCATGCCCAGCTGTCTCCCGATGTGAGGGGAGGAGTGCGTGCCGCCGCTGGCCTCACACAGGAATCCAGGGAAAATTAACAGGGGACCCTAGTGAGAGGGTCCCCAGCAGAAGGCAGCCCCTTGGGCAGGACCCGTCCCAGGCACTTCTCAAAACAAGTCATCAGTGAAGGCCATTGTGTGACACAGACATCATCTCGTGGAAGCCCCACATATATCTTGCAACTCAAACCCAAGGGTGCCACCTTGGAAGATGGGCTCCTCCTCTGCGGTAGGACCAAACTGCAGAGTGTCATGTGTGGGCCCCCGGAGCAGCTGGCTGGGGGCTTCCTGCTGGCTCTGTCCCTTTCCAGGTGGGGACCTTGTTTCGAGCCTAATTTCCTCCATCTGTGAAATGGGGATGTTTAAGCAGCCCTGCAGAGTCCCTTGTGACAATTCCATTAAAATGATTTTCTCCTGTAAGCTCCTCACAGGGCTGGCAGGGTAAGGGAGTCAAGCAGAGGCGGCCAGCCGTCCGCTGCAGGCCAAATCCGGCTCTCCCACATAGTTACTTTTGGCCCACATAACATTGTTCCAGAAGTGAATTAGCACCACAGAAGGGTCTGGAGATTAAAGGTCGAATCCAGACAAAAATCAGGATATGAGGCTCTGGTGGCAACAGTTAGGTGGAGCTGAGGAAGGGCCACCCCCTTCCCTCAAGGTGCCAGGAACCATTACCCACATGGCCCCCAAAGGCACTGAGTATGGGACAAGGGTTCCCAAAGGCTATGCCCCTTTCTAGCTGGGTGAGGAGGGAAGGGCACTCCGTCAGGGAAAAACCCAGGCCAGTGTGAGCTGCAGAAGCAAAGTAGGGCAGGGCCAAGGGCTTAAGTTTTCTTCTTGAGGTAAGTGGGAGCCATTAAGGGTTCTTCACTTGGAGAAGGACTTGGCTAAAGTGAAGATTTATTTTATTTATTTATTTTTTTTTAAAAAAAATTTATTTTATATTTATTTTTGGCTGCGTTGGGTCTTTTTTTGCTGCGCACGGGCTTTCTCTAGTTGTGGCGAGAGGAGGCTACTCTTCGTTGCGGTGCGTGGGCTTCTCATTGCGGTGGCTTCTCTTGTTGCAGAGCACTGGCTCTAGGCGCGCGGGCTTCAGTAGTTGCAGCACATGGGCTCAGTAGTTATGGCGCACGGGCTTAGTTGCTCCACGGCATGTGGGATCTTCCCAGACCAGGGCTCGAACCCGTGTCCCTTGCATTGGCAGGCGGATTCTTAACCACTGCGCCACCAGGGAAGTCCCTAAAGCAAAGATTTAGAACTTCAAGGGCATGAATGGTAGGAACCTTCCCACCAGTTATTCTTTCCCAGACTATGCCAAGCAGTGGGCAAAAAACAGTGACTCAGCCCGCAGGCCCTGTGTGCTAGAGGGTCAGCCCCTAAGGACAGGGATTTGCCTGTCTTGTTTCCTACTGTATCCCCAGAGCCTACACCAGGGCCTGGGTATAGTAGGTGCTCAATCAATACTGTTAAGAAAAAAAACCTGTTGAATAAATATCAAGCTCTGTTCTGGGGGCATGTACCACAGATGTGTCAGGATAAATCACGTGCTTCTCCTCTAGGAGCTCACATTCAGAAGGGGAGACAGATATTGTACAGACAGTGATCACCAAGCACTTTGCTGGATGAAGGGGTGGGGCTGGGGGTGAGGGGGAGAACCTAGAGCAGGGGCCTGACCCAGCCGAGGGGAGGGGCAGGAGAGCTTCCTGGAGGAGGAGACCCTTGCCAAGGGAAGCCAAGCTATAGCCCACAGAGCCCCACACCCCTCTTTGGGTCGCTGGGTCCCTTCTGGTACTCAGATTTCCTGTCCTAAAGAAGTCATTGTGGCTGCAAGATACCTCTCTTCTTCTGGGGAGTTCTCTGGAGGTCCAGTGGTTAGGACTCGGCACTTTCACTGCTGTGACCTGGGTTCAATCCTCTCTTCTGAGGGAAGCTGCCCTCCTGCATCTAGAGTGGCCCTGGCTGCTTCA